CCAGAATTCCCCAGCCAGCGAATGCATTCGCTGGCTGGGGAATTCTGGGAGTTGAAGTCCAGACATCTTCAAGTAGCCAAGGTTGAGAAACACTGAGTTAGGGTGATCTGTCCCAAACCTGACCCTTTAAGTCTTCTAATAATACACTATAACCACTCTAACTGAATCCATCTAACTTGTTGCTGGTCATCATTTTCTCCTTCTCACCCCTTTTCCCAACTCTTTAGCTTTCTCAAAAATAAACATGGGAGACTTCTTCTATTTTTTTTCGGTTTAAAGTTCAAAGAATATAAAATAGGGTGACTTCATTTTAATCTGTCACTTAAACATGACTAATTCTTAGATATTTTAAACAATACACACATTGCAAAAATATTTCAGATCTAGAGCACAGATATATGTATGTATCAATTGTGAAAATAAATCTTCCTAATGTAAATACTAGAAAGATGCTGTCTCTAGGAAAGGTACATTTCTTACTTTCAATTAAATATCAATGCAAAGGAAGGCAGTCTTTATATATCTTTTAAATTCAATGTTGGAGCACTGTTTTCTTAATATAACAACAAATGTTGCTTCATAATTTGCTCAGTACTAACTATATCGCATTTTAATCCTTGCATGATGTAGATTTTTTTTCAGATTGCAATTATTACAATTTTTAATTAACTACCTAATCAATTGGCCTTATATTGAGCTTCTTCTGTCTCACTCCATTTTAATTCAAGTTCTTGTACTGCAGAAAATGTAGGTCGGTTAATCACGCCTGCCAAAAAACTAGAAGATACAATTCGCTTGGCGGAATTGGTGATTGAAGTTCTGCAGCAAAATGAAGAACATCACGCAGAGGTGAGCAGCAGTATGCTAAAATTTTCCAAACAAGAATTATTAGAGCAAGTGCATACCTGTGTAAATTGCAGACATAATGCTTATGTCCTAGGTAAATCTTAAGTAAGACAATCCATTCTCCTCCTGAAATATCTCTGCATTTCAATAAATACAACCTTGCAAGGAAATATATTTGAAAGATATATTCAAGTAACTAGCACAATGCAAACTCACTCTCTGATTGCGATTTTATCAAGAAAATTTATCTTGTGTGGGACCCTTCAGGACTTGTGTTCCAGAGCACAGCTTCAATATTAGCTTTCACAGAAGATCGCTAATGAAGACATTCATGTAAAAATGTTGCACTACAATACAATGTCTTCTTGGTTTTACACAAAAGTATCATCATCTTATTCTATGAAGAAGTGTGTCTTCTTGAATAATCACCGTTTCTAGATTTAGCTTTCCACGATAGTTGTATGCACTTATCCATGACTGATAATGATGCAGATTTTGGCCATAGGCTTTTAACAGCTGAATAATTACGATATAAAAGGTACCAAACCTCCAGATAACTTTTTATCCTGAAAATGCTAAGCAGAATTAGAAATCCCAGCTAGATTGGGAAGGTGAAAAAGAAAGACAGCAATGGCAATATATGTCCATGTTACTGCCAAATCACTAGGAACAAGCTTGATATTTTTCTTTCAATTTCAGGGCGGATATTGCAGTAGATTATAAAGCCGTATATTAAGAAGTTGACATATGAAAAGGGAAGTTATAGCCCTCCCAAAGAAATAAGGGAGCAAAGCACCAGAGAGTTGCTACTTCAAGGTGTCCCAAAGCTGCTTTTCGAAAAGGCAACTGAATTTTCTGGATGTTTTTTTTCCCCTTGAAAATGTTTCACTTCTCATCTGAAATGAAGAAGCTTCTTGGATGAGAAGCAAAATATTCTCAAGGAAAAAACTGTCAGAGTTTGTCACAGAAATCAAACCCATAAGCACACACAGGTAATTGATTTACCAGGATTCATTAACTTTTCTTTATATACATAATAACACATGAAGTAATATAGAGAATACCAAGAGTGATTCCTCAGTTTCAGATTAGAGCAGCAGTCCAGTTTAGTTTCGTTTTAGTTCTCAGAGGTTAGCACAGCTAAGCCACGCCCAGGCTTCTTACTGTCTCAGCACACATTGGCTGACCTTGTTACTAAGCCTTATTCATTGGCTGACCTTGTTATCATGTCTCTGCCAGCCATGAATTCTCTGACAAAAACCAAGAAATTCCAGTTGCCTTTTGGAAAAGCACCTTTGGGACAACCATGATCTGAATGATTGAGAATCTCCATGGACTACTTCAAAGTCACCTTGAATCACACCTTTTCACACTTCTCTCCCTTCTCTAAGGAGTGCATCACTAAAAGGCTTAGAGTACAATGAAAGCTTCAAGAAGGCCAATATCACTCCAGCATCATGAAATAGTTGTTTCACAGATAAGGTGTAACTCTGTAAATTAACCTGAGTTTCAGAAACAGATAAGATTGTCACTTGAGGCCTCATGAGATAGGTGGAGAGCTCTGCCTGAAAGATAAATGCTAGAAGTTGACCATGGCTTCTACTTTTGCCTAGGAGCCCACATATATACCATAACAAGCTAAAATTGAGAACCAATATAATAGTTTTAATTAATGTTGAACGCAGTTCTTCCTCCATCACCTCCTGATCTGACCAAGATTAGGAAGGTATATTCATGGAAGGAAAGAGGCTGTTAAGAATTTGGCCCATGAGAAATACTACTTCCATTGCAAGATGGCTTCCATGAACAATTGTCAGCAACACAATTTCCATATGCTTTAAAAACACAAATGTGAATCTCCCTAAGAAGATAAAAGATAATGAAATTGTGTCATTAACACCCATTACTCAGAGGAAGATATCTGTGGCACCCATAAATATAAAGCCATGGACATTATTGAAATTAATTTGAAAACAATACTATAACTCCTTTTTCTCTCCCATATCATCTTCGACTGCTGGTTTTCTGGAAATCCAACTTTTTGAGACCCTTTAAGAAGTTAAATATTTTTATGCTTTGTGAAATGAAGCATATTTCATGAGGCATTCAGTACATGAATTCAGCTTTGGTGGTTAGTTAGGGTGCTAGAAATCTTGAACGGAATAAATTTTAGCTGTAAGCCATTCAGGAAAGAGATGGTTCTCTTACTATCATAAAATACAAGTATTAAGGTTTCTCATCACCTCAAATCACAGTTTCAGGTGCCAGCTTCTTCACACTGTTTTATCTGTAGTGATTGCTGGAACAACCTACCTAACCCTTAGGATAGTCTCTTCTAGACTCTTCTATGCCAGGACTGGTATCATACTCCTACAATTCATTTTCATATCAGCTGTAGAGCCTAGAAACATGCCAGGCAAATCCGCCATGGCCACTCTTAGAGGTAAACAGTGTGAAAACAACTTAGACAGGCTGGGATAAAGTTTGTGGTTGCCATCTTTCATATGACAGACACTGAATCACTTCCAAGTTGCACTTTGCATCTAAAGGTGTATCATGCCCTTCCCAAACATGATGCCCTTTAAATATACTATTCCTATGTCTCCCAAAATTTATTGGTAATGTTGGTCATCAATTCTGAAAATTCTAGACCTCATACATCTGGATGACACAAGTGGATGGCACAAGTTGATGAAGGGTTGTCTGTATGATTACATAAAGTAGCAGACCCTTTTTCTTCATGGTAATTGTAGCTTAGGAACAATCCTGTTTCATCTTACACAAATTCATATATAATATTCTGACCGCTTTTTGATCAGAATGAATTTGCTATTATCATATTTATAAATGCACCTTTTTACCCCAAAAAAGAGGGTGAAAATCTGGGTGTATTTTATACACTGAATACAGCATTTTTGGCCTCCTGAAGCTCCGCCCCTTTCACCAAAATGGCCATGCATAGCCTTTAGGAGGCTTCCAGAGTGCTCCTGAGGGCTGGGGAGGGGGCAGAAATGAGCCATTTTTTGCTCAATTTTGCCCCCCCCCAGCCCCCGAGGAGCACTCTACAAGCCTCCTAAAGGCTATGCATGCCCCTTTTTTGACAAAAAAACTGGCCATTTTTTGCAAAAATGGGCCATTTTTGGGAGGTCTGCAGAGTGCAAAAACTTTTTTTTAAATTTGCCTCTTCAAAATCTTGGTGCATCTTATACTCTGGTACATTTTATACTCCGAAAAATACAGTATGTGGCACCCATGTAACCCACAGTGTATGCTGCATACACTGCGTGTATAGGATGACTTAATTCTATATAAATTAATTCCAGTGAAATTGCAGTGATTTGATATAACTTTTATAAATCATCCTTTTAAAACTCCAATAAAAGAAACCTTTGTTTATACCTTTTAACCCTGTAATGTCAACTCCCTCTTTTCTGCTTTCCTTGTCACTGACCATTTTTTATCTTGCATTAAAAAAATCCTTCAAAAATAATTTCACATTTAAAATAAAACCTAAAATAGCTCTCTAATTAAAAAAACAATGTAAAATTAATTTATTTCTAGCACGTGGCACGCCACCAGTCCCAACTTATGCCTGATTGCCTATTTAAATTTCCTCCCTGTTTTTCTACTGTTTATTCAATCTTGGATGATCCTGGCAGGGGAAAGAGGTATGTCACTCAACTGAATGAATTGAGTCACCTCCTATCATATTTTGTGCATGCCCTCTCAGTGCCATGTTTCCTAATGGGATCTTCCCTGGGTAATCCTTGCTTTGTAACTTTGGATTCAAGGAATGTAACAGCAACTTCAGTTTCAATTGCTTGTGGAACTGTAGCCCTACATCGCAGGCCAACGTCGGGAAGGTTCTTCAGCCCTGCATGTAGCAATGGGTATACTTTTACAAGCACTGCGGTTACATCCCAACACCTGTCTTACCTGCCTGGGCTCTTTCCTCAGCCTGTTGTTTTTCCCTTGTTGCTCAGCACACACACCTGATTTATAATTCACCCTGCTGCTAATATCTATTGAATGAGAAAGAAGTAGCTAGGAGTATAGCACTTTGCCCTCTGGTTTTTTTTTCATTGTGTGTATTGTTTTAGTATATACAATATGTATATATGGAGAGAGATTATATAGGTTCAAGGAGAGGAAGGGTTCAAGCTATTTTCCAAGGCATCTGAAGCCAGACAAGGAATAATGGATGGAAACTGATCAAGGAGAGATTTAACCTGGAAATAAGGAGGAATTTTCTAACAGTGAGAACAATCAACCAAAGGAACAGCTTGCCTTCGGAAGTTGCGGGAGCTTCATCACTGGAGGCTTTCAAGAAGATACTGGACTGCCATCTGTCAGAAATGGTGTAGGGTCTCCTGCTTGGGCAGAGGTTGAACTAGATGACCTACAAGGTCCCTTCCAATTCTGTTAATCTAATCTAATCTGCTCTCAGATGGCTGAGGGTGTAACTCAGAAAGGGCATTTTTCTGGGAATGGAAATGAGGTGTTCAAGGGAAGTTTAGATTAAGGGAAACCATGTTGTTTCCAACCACACCCTCCCTTTGGTACAAATCGTCTTGTGTAAGGTAAGAAAGGTTTTAGTCTATCATTAGTCTGCTGGAAAGAAAGCAGAAGGCAATTGGTGATGGCTTCAAAGCACGCATTCCATGGCTAATGGCCACGAGACCTAAAATGCAGATTCCAAACTGCTGCAAGAAAGAATTTTAACAAAGGAAATTCCTGCCATCTCCAATACATTTACACTACCTCATTTGCAGTAACATTATCTGAAAAGCTTAGGAGAGACCTCCAGGGTCAGTAATCTTCTGATAGGAAACAATAACACTTGAGAAATAAACCCCAGTTCATTTTATGTTTCAAGATGGATGGGTAAAATAGCCAAACATTGAGAGGGGGGGGTTCACTCATTTGGTACCCTTCAAGACAACTCAGTGTGTTTATTTATCAGTCATTCTCAGACCTTAAAAGACCTTCCCCAAAATAATTTGCCATTTGAAAGGCTGAGATTATTATTATTGAGAATATACAGGCAGTAGGCACATTATCTAAAATTGCCTTTGGAACAGCATTCAAAGAGAAGTAAACAGGTGTAGAAAGTTAGCATCCACCCCTCTCCTAGAAGAATGAAATGTTTTGGGAAATATTAAAAAGGCAGAATATTATATTTCCCTGGATGAAACATCATTTTGGAGGGAGAGGGCATCCCCCACCTTTCTTAATAGCCCTCAGTAGATGTCAGCACTTAAGAGATAAAGAGATAAGTAGCTCTATTCATAAGCAAATACCCTCACCCAAGATCCAACAAAGGTGGGATTAGCCCTCAGCCCACACTAGGAATTGCCCAAAGCTCCTTCATTGCATCATCTCAATTGCATCACCCACAGCAGTTCAAACTTCAACCAAACATAGCTCAGACAAACTCCTAGGATTTGTATATGGCAACAGCCAATAGAATGCATGTTCTTGAACAGGAACAGGAAGTTCAAGTGCAAAGCCCAAAAGAAGGTATAAATACCCCCCCCCCCTCAACTCCATGTGGTCAGCTGCATCAGAATCACACATGCTTGGTGGTTCTGCTTCAACAATAAATGGACCCTCTTTCCAATCAGCCTCCAGCCTCCATTTTGTCTCCAGTGCCTTTCTCCCGGCTTGGAACTGGACCTGGATATTTCTTCCAACATGTGGAAGGGACCACACAAAAACATTACCAGAAAAAAAGTTATCTTAAGCTAGTTTAAAGTCAGTTTGTTAAAAATAACAAGCATTACCAAGGAAAAATTAAGAAGCTGCTTAGTATGCATGTCTGTGGCAAACAAAGATGCATGAAATTAATTGCAAAAAAGTCTGAGTCATTAAAAAAAACTTTGTAAAAATCTGCTGTTTAAAACAAATCCCAAACGAGTCTGCAAGACATGCTACAATCTAAGCAGTTTCCAATAATATAGTTGATATCCCTTTAGCTCTATACCATTTATCTTCTCTTTTTTTTTTTTCCAAAATGGGAAGGGGGATGTATTTTGCAAATTACATGCAGGGACCCTTAAAGCTTTTATTTACTGCAGACCTTTGAAATTATCATTCTCTCTCCATATGTATATATGTATGAATATGTATATATGTATTTATCTCTTGAAAACTTGCATATATACATGAATTTTCATGGGTATGGTCAAATAACTCATAGATTTTGTGATGTAGGATTTGCATTTCCTTTCTATGTTTATTATAAAGAAGGTAAGTAAAGGGAAAGTACATTTTATTATTGGGGAATGGTATTCTTAAATAGCAATATTATTTTTCTCATTTTCAGAAAGAGATTTCAGGATGATAGCTTGGACCTGAAAAGGCAGATTTATTATTATATGCAAATTCAGTGCCCACTACAAAAAAAATCATTTTTACAGAAATTACCATGTTTCTTTCTTTGAATTTCAAAAGCACTGGCTCTTTTTCCTACTTATGAAAACAGGATGTAATGGTTGAATTCTAGATTAAATTATCTCAAAAAACATTTTGAGTTATAAGCATAAAGTTATTTACACTGTGAGGTGTTGTGATCTAGAATTTACAACTAATGTTAAAAGGATATAAAAAGTTAATCTTTAGATGCCACAAGATTTTTTTTCTCTCGTTTTGATATAACAGTTCACATTACAAAGGATTCCAATAAAAGTGGTTCATGTTGTCTCAAAATACCAATATAATTACATTGCTCTTCCACTAGACTGGATTTATACAATGCATAAAGGCAGGATTATTAATAATCTTTGTTTGAAACATTTGTTGGAGAAAATGCAGAATTGTTTTGATTGAATCTCTAGAAGTCTCGTGAAAGTCTAATACTAGCTATTATAGAAACAAGATTCCTAGACAAAATAAAACTGTCCAATAACAATTTCCCCCTCGTTTCTTATGGAATTTATATAGCTTTCAATAGTATAGAAAAAAAAATTCTAGACCATATAGGAATCATTCATTGGAATGTACAGATGACATTTTAAAAAGCAGGAAAATAATTCTATTGACATTGGCGACATTGGCATAGTTCCTAAAAGTTCATTTTAATATCATAAAAATGTATATCACATTAGTGATTAGTAATTTTTATCACATTAGTATCAACCTTTAGGAGCTATATCAATGTTACCAATGCCGGTAGAATTACTTTCCTACTTTTAGGAAATTTTAACACTAGCTGTACCAGAATTCTGGAGAGAATCTATGCAACTGGATGGCATTTAATCGATTATACTAGAATTGTTCATATTTTTTATCAATATCTACAGCATTTGCTAGTGAAAACAGAAGGACCAAAAGCAGTATTTAAATGAAGATGTACGATATAGGATGTATCAGTTTATTGCTTCAAATACTTCATTGCCTCTGTTTCTCAAAATATGATGTTGGTAATGAAGATCATCCATATTATAATTACTTCTTGAATAAAGTTCTTAAGTTACATAAATATTAATGGTTTAATAGAAGAAAGTTACTGGACAAGGAATTGTTCTGTAAAAGAGAGTTGATATATTTATGTCAGTCTTTTAACTGACATTTCAGAATTAATATCCATTGCTAGATTTCACTTAAGAATAGTTTAGAAACAATGCCTATTCATTCCCTACTGTGGAATCTTCCTCTATTTTTCCTCACTGTCCTGTTTCTTGATATTAAATATAAACAACTAATTTCAATTTCAGTTTAAACGCTCTTATTATGTTCCAAATATCTTAAGTATTTTAAACAAACAAACCCCAAAATGTTCACAAGCATCAAATTCCAATGTCATGCTGGCAGAATGGAATTCTGGAAAGCTAACTTCTTCAAGGATTTCTTCACCTGACAAGCTCCAGAAAGGTCCCAAAAGAGAAGAATGGTCTCTAGAATGGAGAATTAAGGAGACTTCCTAATATTAGATAGTGCCATCTGGTGCATATGGGAGTTCTACTGAATAATCTCCCTTCCCCTTCTACAAGTAAGTCCTCTAGTCCTCTGTCTACCATGTTCAAGGCTTATTTACTAGGGGAAATGAAAGACAAAAATGTATCTTCTTTGAAATATATTCTGCCAACACAACATTAGCAAGATTCAGAGAAAGATATATACCACAGTCTCCCTGGGATCAGAAGAATTTATGTTCGCTTGTCCTTTTCATTTCAGAGGATGGATATGTAAAGTTTATTCACATGTGCTATTCTTGTAAACTAATACAATTTTTAATATATATACCGTGTTTTCCCGAAAATAAGACAGGGTCTTATTTTCTTTTGACCCTCAAAATAAGCACTTGGCCTTATTTTTGGGGAGTTCTTATTATTTTTGAGGTGCAGGAGGCGGCATGCATGGTCACCTCATGGCTGCTACTGTGGTACAATATTTTTGGCTTATTTTGGGGGAAAGGCTTATTTTAACGCATGCTCTCAAAAGCCTGATTGGGCTTATTATCCGGGGAGGTCTTATTTTCAGGGAAACGGCATATATATGGATAATCATTTCCAGCTAAGTTTACAGGGCCTGGAAAATTTAAGGAGTCTTCATCTGCCTCTGAAAAGAGGCTACCAATGGCTAATGCATATATGTTTTCAGGAGAGCATTTTATATAATTCAGAGGCAATCACTAGAAAGATTACCTATAAGAATATGGATTATGGAGCAGGATTTCAGTGACGTATATCTAATCAGATAATCTTAGCCCTTGACTCACTTGCCAAAATACTCTTAACGCTTTAGAAAATGACAATTACTACCTAAGCATTGAACTCTTGAGTAATTTTTTTTTTATTGCTTAGTCATTATTGCACAAGGTCCTATTGATAACACCACTCATGTTGCATGATCCTAAGCCAGAAGTGATTTTAAACACGCGTGCATGTGTTCCTAGCACATTCACATCTGAGACATGTATGATGTGAATGTCATTTCAGAGAAGCTGTACAATGACTTCCTGAGGACTCGTGCGCATGGCCCATGAGTTACTTCACTGATATTTCTTGGTTTTCAACGTTCTTTACTTCTTAGTAGTTTTATCATTGCTTGACTGCAGATAGCTCTTCTGATGTCATGTGGGGGGGGGGTTTCCATCATGATCGCTAGTTTATGTTAAAAACTCACCCGCTAGCTGAGTTTGAATGTAAATGTGGGGTGTTTCATGGCCATGAAATCCCCAATTTTCATACTTGATAAAGTAATAATGTCTGAGGGTTTCCTGGGAAAGAGGAGCAGAAAACCTACAAAGACAGTGAAGAAACTCCCAAATGTGATATATTTTACACAAGGAACTCTTAAGAAATAGCATGATCCACAAGTGATTTATTGTAAACGGAACAGGTTCACGTCCATTGTGAAGATGTGGAAGATTATACCTCTGAGTCTTTACTCTTTGAGAAGTTACTCCTTGAGAAGTTTACTCCTCGAGAAGCAGACGCTCTGTTGCACCCTAGTTGCCTTATGATTACAACGTGCTAGCAATTGCAATACGGTTTGCCTTACCATAAAGCTAGATTTATCCAAGGTATTCACTTGGTTTACTATTTAAGGCCTCCCGAACGTGAGATTTAGTTTAATAACACTTCTGTTTATTTTTTTAATTCTGTTTTGTTTTGCAACTTTTCAAGGCCTTTGCTTGGTGGTCAGACTTAATGGTCGAACACGCGGAGACCTTCCTCTCATTGTTTGCAGTAGACATGGATGCTGCGCTGGAAGTCCAGCCCCCAGACACCTGGGACAGCTTTCCACTCTTTCAGCTTCTAAATGACTCCCTTCGAAGTGACTGTATGTATTGTACTTTGGCCATTTAATTTATTCTCCAGGGAGATGAAAGTGTTGGGCTAATATTAATTTTGACTGATTTCCGGTTCTTCCTCACTTAACCCTTTAGTTAAATCACTTAATGAAATGTCTGCAAGAAAACAATCAAGCTTAGAGAGCACCAAGGAACTTTCATTTTGTGAATGTTTATGAAAGAAAACTGTTACTGTATATTCAGAAACACACACCTACACAAAAACACCCCACAACCAAGCCTCAGAGCATACTCATACTCCTGCAAAAAGAAGATATCCAGTCCTTGTTATTCAATTTATAAAAAAAAGCAATACCAATCAGCTTTCTAATTTCTCCTTGAATCAGCTGGTAGGTTTTGCTGGTTGCATTGCAAATCTATTTGGGGAGACTGCAGAAATGGATGCAGAAAAAAATCGATCTCCTTCCGTCACAACACAAAATCACATGAGCCAAGGGACCAAGGAAGAGACTGTGCCAGCAGCTTTTGGTACTTACCTTGTGGCACACAAAACTTTTTTCATCTGGGTGCAAATGGGGAGGTTTGCATTAGGAATAAGGGGTTTTTTTCAAGCTACTATTCACAATAAAAAAAGGTTTTGTCTTTCAAAGCTTAATCAAAAGGTAGTCAAGAGCCCTAATATCTTGGGACACACACAGATCAGAGAGACATATTTTTCCCCTACTGACACCTCTACATAAAAATATTTATGTTTAAGTGAAGCAAGGCTTTCTTTCTTGTTTAAGAAGAGATTTCAAACACATGTAGAAAGATGGAATAAAAAATATTCTAAAAACCCTAGTGTCTGACATATCCTAAACAATAAAAAATAAATAAAAGCTACGAAAAAGTCATAGATATCTTTTAAAAAGTAGTATAAAAGAATAATAAAAACAGCATTTTGTCACTTTTGTAAGTTTTATGAGAACCAAAAAAAAGTAAAACATTTCTGAAAAAGTGCAATCAAGATAATCCTTGCCCAAAACCAAATGACATGGATTTGTTAATAAAGGTCCCCTTAAGTGCTCTTAATGTGTTGGATTCACACAATCACTTTAGTTTTCCTTATTTACCACCAACTCCTTACAGAAATATATTACAGTGCACCTTTCAAGGCAATGTTTTCACTGCAGACATGAAGTATTGCTTGACAACTTAATGTGAAGATCAGATTTTACTGAAAAAAATGGCTCAAAAAATTCTTTTTCATATATATATAAGTATATATATACTTAAAGTCACAACCCCTGGTATGCCCAAGTATGGGTATTAAGTATAGTATAAGTATAGTTTATAAGTATAAAGTATAATTAAGTATATACCTCCCACCCTGGCTGGCTGATAAGGAAGTCGTTCTCTGTAGCTCAAATGGTTAA